CATACAATGGCCCAGGGTTCCTGAGGAGATCAGCTTTGAAGCATATGATTTGATGAACAAGTAAGCATTATCAAAGTAGACGTGCTTGTTAATAAGGCTATTCTATGAAACTACAAAAGTAATATGGAAATTTTATTCATATTTACCTGATCAAATCCCAAACTAAGCATCGAAATTTTCCAGCATGTTTGGTTTCCCATTAAATCAAGCAAAATCTATGTGTAATTTCCACATCCATTATAAAGCTACTCTGTATAGCTTCAAGCTATTACGTTGTTGGTCCACATTTTTTGGTTCTAACACTAAAACAAACACACACTAGGTGAAAAATGATTTGTAGTGAAGTTTTTGGTGATAAGGAAAGGCTGGTGCTGCTGGTGTACACTCTGAAAAATTATGAACAGTGTAAACATTGTGTACAATAATTGTTTTCAGTGTTTAGCTTGTCCACTGAGAAAAGAATGTGTGATCATTCTTTTTGGCTATGCTATGCAAAATTTCTTTAAAGCTAATCTATGTAATCAAGCTTAAAAACGGAAAATATCCCTTGCATGAAACTTGCACGTGGATCAAATGGTGTGAAACACCAATTCTAAACCAAGATACATGGCAGAAGTAATGGCTTTCAAAATTAACATAATTTGGCAGGACAAGCAAGATCATTTTGGGTGACATGCTATTAATGAACATAATATACTGTTTTTTTAGTGTTGTTCACTTTTATGATACCGCTAAAGTTGTCCTCTTTTAACATAATATTAAGATTCGTTTCGTGTTGGTTTTGGCTGACAGTGTATTCTCTTTTAGATTATTGAACGAAAATCCAGTCCAAAGATTAGGTGCAACAGGAGCTACAGAAGTGAGTTATTTATTGCTTAGTACTTGCAAATTATCGTATTTCACAAAAGGCAACAATAGATATACTTTTCCTGGCAGGTTAAACGCCATGCTTTCTTCAAGGATGTTAATTGGGATACCCTAGCAAGGCAGAAGGTTCATTTTTTAAGTTTATTAGAGCTTTGATACATTTGTGCCATATCTTTTGTTTTGTCACTTGGGATCTGCCCTGATTTTCTGCAGGCCATGTTCATTCCATCGGCTGAAGCTCTTGATACGAGTTATTTTATGAGCCGGTACATTTGGAATCCCGAGGATGAACATTGTGCTGGAGGTAGTGATTTTGATGACATTACTGAAACATGCAGCAGTGGTTCAGGCAGCGAATTTTTAGATGAAGATGTAAGAATACTTTCTAGTGTCAGTAGTCAGTACCCATGCTCTATAAACTACCTTAGCCTTTTAGGTGTAATACTACTTACGTACAAGGATTGCTTGATTTTAAGTAATGACATGTTTCCATTTGTTTGAACATAGACCATGAATTTGTATTGCATTTATGCTGAATAAAGATTACATATGAAATAATCAGTTAGCCTTGTAAGCCACAAGTCTGCCTCATCAATTGCTTTTTTTTTTTTTCCTTTTTAAATTAAATTTATAATTTGGTGTGAAACAACAATTTTATCTGATTGTTTTTCTAGCAGCCTTGTTTGACCATATTTTTTCTGACTATATACTTCATACTTGTTAAGCAGGGTGATGAATGCGGTAGTTTAGCAGAGTTCAATGGTCCACCTCTTGAAGTGCAGTACTCATTTAGTAATTTCTCATTTAAGGTAATACTTTTCATGCCTAATGTTCTCATTTGTTAATATAATTCGTTATGTTACGTCAGCATCATTCCATTTATGGTATCGAGAAGTAATTGATTGTTTCTACAATACACTATACAATTATAATGTATGGATACATTGTAATATATCTGTTAAGTTTTTTTTTGTACTCGTGGTTGTTTATAATGATGTTGTAAGCTAAAATATATATTTTTATATACAAAATTCCACGGAAATGATAATATGGTATATTAATACACTACAATTTTATAATGTATTGTAGACTCGGTCCATTTAGTTATCCTAAATTCGTCTGCCTATCATGTCAAGAAAATGCCTCTTCTGTCTTTTTTCATTCCCCTCCCTTTATAGTTATTTATCCTAGATTTGTTACTGCTAAAAATATAAGGTTTTACCGGTGGATGTTGGTTAAGATTAAGGGAAAAGAAGGTTGTTCTTCATTTTCTTTCTTGAGTTCAAATTTGGTGGCAGGTCGGGGGAAGTGAAGATGCTCATGAATTGTTTAAGCATTGAAACCTGGCCCAAAAGAAAAGACATATAATCCTTCCCCAAAAAATTAAACATTGAGATTCTATAGTCACATTAGCTAGATTCTCGTATCTCATTACTTTTTTTGCCAAGTACCATGTTAATTTTGCACTTTTCCATGTGAGTTAAAGAAAATTCTTTTATTGCTTGTTTTTTTTACAGAACTTGTCTCAGCTAGCATCTATCAATTATGATCTGGTGATTAAGAACTCCAGGGAATCAACTCAATGACTCTAACCCATCTATTTCATGACATTGCTAAAGAGGGTTGTAAGTTTCTCCAAGCGATGATATATATCACCAAGGGCAAGGCTCAAATAGGTGGATTTCCAGAGTAAAAAATTTCGGGCGTGATTAATACTGACTCTACTGTCGTGTATTTATTACCACTGTTGATATCATTTAGATGAAATGAGATGTGGTCCGATAGTTGGTTTTTCTTGTTTTTTTTTAAATTTTTTTTTATCACCTTTCAGTTTAGAATGGCAATAATTTATTTATTTATTGTAGGATTTGATAGATTGAGACTACTACTAGTAGTAAACTAGTAATGTTCTATCTTTGCTCACAGTAAATAGTGTCTTGATAACAATTAGGGAAACAGTAACAATAAAAAGTGCAGGTTATTAATTACTATATTATATTTATAAATTTCTCTACTTTTATCTTTATTTCTTATTTTTCTATTCTTTTTTACATTATTTTGTGTGTATTTGAATTCTCGTTGAAAATTTATATTTTAATAATTTTTATGTCAAAACGTATTAAAAGTAATAAATAATTATTTTTCTGATCTATCTTTAAAATTTGTGGATGACAATTCAAACACGCACTTCATCTATTACATTATTATTTTTTTCTTTCTAATTTTATTTTCTTCTTTTTATTCTATCTCTCTCTTCCTTCTACTTCAATCAACTAGAATAATGGGTTTAGAATGATGGCAACTAGAATAATGTTCTAAAATCTGCAGTATAAACTAGGATGCCCATTCACACAGGGTAGATAATAATACAGACAAGCGATAAATGATAATTGTACGCAATTTGCGAGAGATTTTCCAGCTTAAATTAAATTTGAGTTTGAAAATATTGGTTATGAAATCAATAAATAATTTCTTTATTAAAAGTTGTATAAAGATAATATAGGTTAATTTCTTTTAAAAGTTTGTAATTCTTTCGCTTATAAAATCTTAACAAGTCTTTTTGTTTAGTGGTTATAAAATTTGTTTTAGACAGAACTATAATGACTTGATTCTTATTTATATTATAAAATAATATTTGATTAACGAAAATTATATTTTACGAATGTAAATTAATTTAGTTATCAATTTTAGAATATTATATAAAAAAAAAACTAATCAAAATTTTATTAGTATTATCTATCTTATGAAATGATGGATAAAAACTAGCTTATAATTAAATGATTTCTCACGGCGTATCACACACCCCAACATAAAATTTCTCTAATTAAAGATTAATTTATATAAGTTATATGGTTTAAAAATAAATTCTTCCAAGAATAATGAAAACATTTGAATAACACTCGCAAAAAATAGTTTCAAAACTGAAGGTATTCAGAGAATTAAGAGGCCTTTGTAACGTAACAATGAGTATTTTTTTTAAGAGTGTCCATTCCATTCTACTATTTTTTATCATAAAAAAAAACAATTTTTGGGAGTAAATTTTGTTTGTAAAAGGCAACGGCTACAGGTGTAAGCAATTTAGCATAAGGTATACTATCAAACGTGGGAGGTGGTGGTGAGGACATCTTGAACACAAGCCACGTCCTTCCCGCGGCACGTTGAAAGGATTCAGTTGTACGCAGCGCAGCGCAGGGGAGGCTATAATTATTTTTTTTAATAAAATAAAAATAGTACTAGGCACTAGGGGTGAGCATTAAACCGACACCCGAACCGAAAAACCATATAAAAAATATTGTTTTTGAGTGGGTTCGGGCGGGTCTTATGGGTAAATCGGGTTAAAATTTTGATTTTATACGGGTTATATTGGGTGGGTTCGGTTTTGAATTTTTAAACCCGCCAAAAACCGAACCTAACCGAAAATGAGATAAGTTTAAATTTTTATTACTTTTGTATAATTAAACAACAATGGTCCAAACTTAAAAATCTTTATTTCAAGTATAATATAGCCATCAATTTGTAACTTATTTTTTTCATTTTTCTCATAACTTAGATATTTATTTTGTCTTCTCCTTCCTCATTCAACTTCTCAACACGCTAGTCCATTTTTAGAGTTATCTTTTTGCTTCTTTCTTTGTCTTTCTTTTCCATCTTCTTATCTCCATTTTGAGTACATTTTGTGTGACTGTGATTTCTTATGATTTTGTAATCTAACTTTATATTTCTTTTTCATGTAACAATTATGAATTTTGTTATCTTTTATTTTTGCTTCTTTAGTTTGTAAATGTTTCAACTACGAATCTACTTACACCATCTATTGTCACCTTCATTATATTTTTATACACTATTTTAAAAATATTTTTTATCGTTTTAAGCTTCATCTTCCTTAAGATAAATTGATTTACAAAAAAATTCAAACCCGATTATACCCACCCGCTTAAATCCGAATCCGTTTCAACCCGAACCGCCTCAAATCGAAAGCTCATTCGGTCGGATATGTGTCACATTTTTTCAAAGTCAGTTTACAATGGGTTAGACATTTTTCACCCGAACCCGACCAAACCCACCAGTTGCTCACCTAGGCACTACTCTAGCTGGCTAATTAAAAAAAAGGAAAAGGAGAGGAGAGCGAAAGTGGGTGTCCACTGTCCGTTTCATTTCACTATTCCATGTGTCCTGTGCCTCCTGTGCCCTGCACGCTAACGCTACATGTTTGACGAAATTTAAATGATTTAAACAAAGCCCTCTCCCGAGCGCAATCGAAAATTAGAATCAGAAATGTGGAGACGCGCAACCAAATCATCCCTTTTCCTTCGCCTCCTGGTAATGTTGTTTCCTCCTCTCTCTCTCTCTCTCTCTCTCTCTCTCTCTCTTAATCAATTCATATTCTCACATTGATCCACTTTCGTTATTCTTCTCCACTCCAGAAACCTTCTAAACAAAACGCTTCGCTCTCCCAAAGATTCACCAATGGATTCGCCTTCCACATGCACACGCGAACGCACTTCCAGGTAATCAACTCTTCTTCTTGCATACTGCGCTTCCTCAAACTCTATCTAAATTATAATCTCTTCTAGGGTTCAGTGTTCATAAAGCTTTTAAGTTGCGCCAATGTTGTATTCTTGTGGTTTCTTCTCATCAGCAGATTCGTTAGTCTCTCTATGCGTCTGTCACTTGTATTGTTAAACTTTCTCTGATTCATATTTATTCTTCCTATTTGATTGGATACATATACTTTTTATTCTGGTGTCTCCGTTCTCTTCCCGTTAGTTTCTGTGTACTCCGTAGGATCACTTCTCCTCTTTGTTAATTTCACTCATCTTAACTTATGTTGTGTCGTAGCAATTCGCTGTTTATATAACCAACCACACTACTAGAGAGCTTACAGTCTTTGGATATTATTGTCTAAAGTACGGTATTTAATTAATGATCTCCTTGTTTCTTTTTTCCCTTCCCTATAATGCAGGAAAAGCATGGAGTTTTCCCCAAACAAGTAGCTCCGCTTATAACTTTTGTTTTAGGTAATCATCCATTTATTAAATTGTTGACAAAATTGATGTCAAATCAAGATGTAGTTCTTATTCATCAGAACTGAGAAAATAGAGTTGATAACTAAACACTAATTTTGTGAATGCCTTCCTCAAAGTGTGAGTTCCGTGTTGCTCTGCATATATTGTCTATCTGTGCGTACTGCATACTATTAAAAGTAGATATATGGATGGTTTGTCTTCATGTTTAACATTGGAAGGTACAATGGTGAGGTTGATAAGTTATACAATTTTAAGGAATGAAAACACCCAGATATAGAAGTTAAGCTTATGATGTTGATTGTGTAATTGAATTTTACACTCTGAATCAAGGATATTGGAAAGTATTACCAGATGGTTAATATTGGAGCTGAGGCATTTGGGACGTCTAGATGTTCAAATGTTTGTCTTTATTTTCTTAAAAAGCTTATTAATTGGCCAAAGTAAGTGGAAGTCATGTGGACAAATTTATAAAAATAATTGAAAATGTTCAAACTAATTACCTAATTAATTGGTTTTAATGATCTAGCTAGATATTGTGCCAATGGCAGTAGCTAAATATATGCGACAGAAATGGGCATAGCTGAAGGCAAATGTCATGGTGTCTAAGTTTGGCCCATCTTGAGGCTCGAAAGAAAACTGTATTAACCTATAACGAATTAGTCTAGTGATATAAATGAAATGTGTGATTATGAACCTTAAAACACCATATATTGTGTGAAGAAAAAATAAGTAATGCTTACTCTTCTTATTTGGCAGAAAGAATAGACCAAGCAGATATATGTGTTGGCAGTTTCCAAGTTGAGAATAGACCATGCAGATATATTTGTAGGCTTATGAATGCATTAATTTTTTTTAATTCAATGGTTGGATTATTGAAATTTGATGTATAACATGAATTATTGAATAACTTATGTTCTACATCATATTTCAACGATTCAACGTTTAATTAAAAGTTTTTAATGGATAAATTAAGTCTACAAAATTTTAAAACTATTTAATACTTCGTTTTATTCATTCAAATTGATGAATAATCATAAAAATATTTTATTCATTTATTTTATTCATATAACGAATTATTATATAATTTTCAAATTTTTAAGAATTTGTAATATCTATTTATTAAAAACTTTTAATTCAATGCGCTAAACTGTTTGGGCTCTATACTTTAAAAACTGAAAAAATGTATATAATAGAACTTTGAATTCAACTTGCTTAACTATTGATGCTATCCATGACCCTTTTTTTTTGGTTGGGGGGTGCCTTGAATATATGATAACTCAAAATTGTTTTTTCCGTTCTCAGGAGGCCCTGGTAGTGGAAAAGGTACGCAATGTGCAAAAATTGTTGAAACCTATGGATTTAATCATCTGAGTGCTGGAGATCTTTTGAGAAGGGAGATGAATTCTGATAGTGAATATGGGTGATGTTGTCTTACCCTAATTTTTTTATTTGTTTTGTTGGTGAATTTTTTGGGATTTTAACAATAAAATCACCAAACAGCTCAATGATTCTGAATACAATTAGAGAAGGAAGTATCGTTCCATCAGAAGTGACTGTCAAATTGATTCTTAAAGAGATGAAATCTAGTGACAATCATAAGTTTCTCATTGATGGTTTCCCTAGAAGCGAGGAGAACCGGAAAGCTTTTGAACAAATTGTAAGTTTGACTTTTAACCTTATTTCACTTAAATTTGAGTAGAAGGAAGTTATTTCACCCCTCTGTCAGCCTCTTCTTTCTAATGATAAATTGATATAGTATTTAGTTATTCCTGTGTCAGTTCCTGTTTTTCTATTTATTTAATTTACTATGAATTTGCCACATATCCTCTGTATTCTATATCTTTGCAAATGACAATATATTCGGTGCGTGTTTGGTAACACGTCCAAAACGTGAATCCAAGCAAAAATCACGTTTAGAACGTAAAAGCTATAACTGATAGCTTCCATTTTGACGTGATTTATCACGTTCAAAATTTGAACCAAACACACACTCAGATGAATGAAGTAAATTGTCATAGCAGAAAAGTGTTTCTGAGGGTAATAGAACAAAGGAATAATTTCATGTAAATTCTTTCTTGTATTCTTTGACTAAATATACACATTATGCAGATTGGAGCAGAACCACGTATAGTACTTTTCTTTGATTGCCCTGAAGAAGAGATGGTGAAACGTTTGCTGCGCCGTAATCAGGTTCCCATTAAATTCTTGGAGATTTAACTTCAGCAGCTGATTAGAAACTTGTCTGATATATGCTAAACATTTTATTGCAGGGTCGAATTGATGACAACATAGATACAATCAAGAATCGTCTTAAAGTATTTGAGGCATTAAATCTTCCTGTGATTGATTATTATGCCAAGAGAGGGAAACTTTACAGGGTAACTATATTCAGTTTCAATATTTTATTGGACTTGGGGGAACTGGCCTTATTTAGAGAAATATATGCCGACAACTTCCAAAAACTGCAATTGTTTTTGTTTGCCGTTTGTTTAGAGATCTTTTGTTTACTTAACCTTCAAAGTGTATGATACTAGTTCTGAGTGGGAAAATTCACAGGATAGTCTTTTGTGGGCTTGACTTGAATGATGATTGACCTTGGGATTCACTTGTCTGCTTGTTATACTTCATATATATAGATGTGATGTATATGCAATGGAAATTATTTGGAAAAAAAATCAGCTTCTGGTCAAAGTATTTTAGGCCTCTTTCTTGCTTATCACACTGATTTTGGTTTTGCCTTTACATTGTATGCTACATGAATAATATCTTCATTATATGACAAGCTAATCTCTGCAGATCAATGCAGTGGGAACAGCAGACGAAATATTTGAGCAAGTTCGGCCAGCTTTTGAAGCATGTGAGGTATATATTTATTTGTTGTTATTTCTATAACGTTAGTTACAATGGCTTTGGAAGCATGATGTTCCACACACAATTGCCTCTTCATGAAGGTCGTGCTTACTAATAGTTCTTTATTGGAAGCTGGATTTGACGCCATTTACTAGGTTCATATGTGTACGCAGCCATGTTGTGTTTTTATAACCGTGGCTTTATTTTTTTCAGTTGTAACTTTTTAAGTGGGTGTGAAAAGGAGAAATCCGAAACACCATATTTGTTGGGTAGATGTAATTCTGAGTTTCTTGTCTAGCTTGGCTTTCCTCTCTCTTATCTGGATTAAAATATTGTATTTTGTTGTTTAATAGCTCTAATGACTTGCATCATTCTATGCAGCACGAGGCTAAATGAAAGCTGTTTGAATTGGTTGAGAGCATTTGGCTAAAGTTTGGATTTAGTGGGAACCCAATTTAGTTGCCAGTTGATTACCAGGATCCGATCCAGATTCCTGGCTGATTTGCTTTGGAATTTGGTAGTTCCCTAAAACACGTCCGCTGAAGTATTTCAAATTGATACATACATGTCCACCATTCACAGGAGATGGCTCTTGTTGCGTTTTTCATTTTTCTCCTTATAATGCCTAAGGTGCAATAAACAGCTTATGCCCCCGAAAGAATGGCCTACAGGTGGAGCTAATCTGTCTTTAACAACATAGGAACTGGTTATAATGCGCAATATATACGATCATGTTTTGTAATTTTTTTAACAAAAAATTGAATTCTATATGTCAGTACAACCTACATTCTGACTTTTATCATCACAGATACTGCCACCAAGTTGGTCTCTTGCAGTAACCAAGTTAATTAGTAAACTGTGTTTATAGGTAATTAGAGTTGAGCGTTCTCTTGAATTTGACTCCGTATATTTTGTGACATTTTGACATGGGTTGAGGGGAAATATGTAACTTTATAACATGTTATGAGGAAAATATTATATTTTGTTAAGAGAAATGGAAAAGTATGTATTATAGTTTTTGAATAAATCATCCCTATAATCTCTAAAATTTTGACTGTTAATTTAATTTATGGATTTTCAAAATTAGAGTCAAATATTAAAATAACCATCGTATACAAAGTTATGAGAAAAAAAATTACTTGTAATTTTTTTTATTTATCACGGTCACAAGTTCTATTTTATAAATTATAACCATCATTTGATTGTTTTTGTTACATATATATGTAATGTTTTTATAAATTATAACCATAACCATGCAAGTCCAGAGTCGGGTCCAGAGTAGAGCCGTCAAAATGGGCCGTGGCCCGTGGGCTGGGCCAGGCCAAAATAAATAGCAGTTTTATGTTAAGTGGGTAAATTCAAACCCGGCCCACTTTTACCTGGCCCACTTGGGCTGAACTCGTAGTGGGCCGGGTAGCCCACCAGCCCACTTATTTTTTTTTATTGAAACCGAACAGCCAAGAGCTAGCCCAGCCCAATAGACAAGTTTCACTATAACGATCCCGCTATCAGGAGTACGAAGAAGGTGAAAACGAAGGCTGATGGTTCAGAGGGTTTTGGTGGAAAAGACGTGAGTATGGAAGAGAAGGTTTCCGCATCAGGATCTGCCTCAGATCCTTCTAAATCCTATATGGAGAGTCTTCTCTCGGAAAGCGGAGGGAAAATTTTTAACGACTTTTCTAGCCTGATCAGAGAGATGGAATGCCCGGAAGACGGCTATTATAATGATCAAGATGATATTGTTGATGATGATTCTGATCTGGATCCTTGCCCCAAGATCCATGTTACACAAGAAGAATTTGAGGAGTGGTGTGCTCCGTGGAAAAGCTCTCTTGTCATTCACGTACTAGATAAGCGTGTGGCATTCCGAATGTTGGACAACAAAATCCAGCGAGAATGGGCTAAAACGGGATCAGTGAGATTGATAGACCTATCACAGGATTATTACCTGGTCCAATTTGCTTCTGAAGAGGATTACAAGCATGCATTATTTGAAGGGCCTTGGCTTATTGCTGACCACTACATAGTCGTTCAAAGGTGGAGACCCTTCTTTACAGTGACTGCCAAACAGACGCGCAAGATTGCTGCTTGGATCCGTATCCCAGGGTTGCCAATTGAACTGTTCAACGATAGATTTCTTTGGCGAGTGGGGAGTAAACTAGGAACGATGTTAAAAATTGATAAGCTAACATCTATTCAGTCCCGTGGAAGATTTGCAAGAATCTGTGTGGAGATTGATCTAAAGAAAAAACTAGTCCCGCAGATAGATGTTTTAGGCCATATTAATCTCAAGTTAGAATATGAAGGTCTGCATTCCATCTGCTTCAAGTGTGGGAAGTACGGCCACAAACAATCTTCATGCCCACAATTTCAAAATGGTGACGACAAGGAAGAGAGCAAGAATCAGACGCTAATGGACGTTGATAATGCTACAACAAAAATAGCTGATCAAGTCCGCAGCCATAACGAGATTCCTAAACATGTGGAGGAGATTATTCCCAATCAAAATGAACCTGAGTCTAAGGATCAATATGGCCCTTGGATGATTGTGAAGAGAAAGAAAAAATCCTTTAACTCAAGGAATCCTTCTCAAGTGGCAACAACAAACACAAATACCAGATTGGTTGAATAAAGTTGAAGTATATTACTCATAATTTACTTTAAATTTATTATTGATACATATAATATATTCAACTAATTACGATCATTCAATGACGGCCTAATTAAGCACAAGCCGATATGACGTCAGTCCATGGCGCTATTTTCGAAAGAGTACCAAAAAAAATATTTAGTCTGAATAATATAAATAAAATTATATACTTAAATAATTAAAAAATCATTATAAAAAATAAATTAAATACAACTAATTAGTTAACAATCAATTTTTTATCAGTCAACAATATTTACCAATAATTAAAAAATAAACTGATAATATTATATATAAAGAAGAAAACGTGACATGTTATTAATTTTTTGCGTTATAAACTTATATAAATATTAACATAAAATTATAAATAAAAATTAATTAATTAATTTTTTATTTAACATTAATTTCTTTCTATTTTTTAAATTATAATTTATCTTATTTTGTTGAAATTTTAAAATTAAATTATAAATCTTCACTTTTCTTGCAAACTATTTTGTGATATATTATTTATATTTATTCATTTTTTAATTTGAAAATAGAGATTATAACTAATTTTCAAATACTTATTAAGATGTTACTTTTTCAGTACTTCACCTAGCTCGGATTACTCTTAATTTACTTTGATAAATATAACTAACACATATGTGTACACACATATATTTTAAATATCATATTATATTATATGCTATAAAAAAAATAAAAATAAAAAAAACACTTTAATCACGTTTTTCTGCGGTGCGATGAAGGCTGGGTCTGTGAGCATGAAGGCTCTGCCGGCAACGATCCCGCTATCAGGAGTACGAAGAAGGTGAAAACGAAGGCTGATGGTTCAGAGGGTTTTGGTGGAAAAGACGTGAGTATGGAAGAGAAGGTTTCCGCTTCAGGATCTGCCTCAGATCCTTCTAAATCCTATATGGAGAGTCTTCTCTCGGGAAGTGATTTATGACTATTAATAATGTTAATTTTATGATTATTATATTATTTGAAATTTGAAATTTTGTTTTTTTTTTTGGTGGGTTGGTGGGCTAGCCCGTTTGACCCACCAACCCGTGGTGGGCCGTGCCGAGCCATAAAAATTCTGAAAAAATAAAAAGTGAGCCGGGTTGGGTTGGCCTGTTTTTAAGGTGGGTCAAAGTGGGCCGGCCCACATGGGCCGGACTGGCCCGTTTTGACAGCTCTAGTCCAGAGTCGGGTCCAGAGTCAATCTTTTCAAATATTGTTTATTTGCACATGTAATTTTCTTAAAAAGAAAATCATGTAAACGTACGTAAATTACATATATCTTGAATTTCTAAGAATTTGTCGTATTAATATATTCGTGTGTTACTTATTGTAATGATCAAATATCAAAACTTGTTGGTGGATGGCGGGCATGATTATCGAAGTAATTCCCCGTTGAAGAAATTAGAATGATAGCAACGCAAACGTTCCCTCGAAATGGCATGAGCTTGTGTTCGGAGAAGAAGAAAAACAAAACTTGGAAACAGAGACGGCGAGAAAGCGAAGAAAGAAGCAACGCTCTCTGTTTCCCAAAACCCAAACCAACCCCACTCCTTATCCGTCACCGACCTCTCCCCCAAACAAAACTCCAAGCTCTTGAACAAGTCCTCACAGACCTTGAATCCTCCGTTGAGAAGGGCATCAGAATCGATCCTGAAATCTATGCCTCTTTGTTAGAAACCTGTTACCGCTTCCAAGCCCTTCGTCACGGTATCCGACTCCACCGCCTCATCCCAACAACCTTGTTGCATCAAAATGTCGGAATCTCCTCCAAGCTTATTAGGTTGTATGCGTCGTATGGTTACTTAGACGATGCCCACGACCTGTTTGATCAAATGACTAAAAGGAATACCTCCGCATTTCCCTGGAATTCACTTATCTCAGGATATGCCCAAGTGGGTCTATACGATGACGCCATTGCACTCTACTTCCAAATGGTGGAAGAGGGTGTTGAACCTGACTTGTTCACCTTCCCTCGGGTTCTCAAAGTTTGTGCCGGAATTGGGTCTGTTCAAGTGGGGGAAGAGGTGCATCGCCACGTGGTTCGTGCTGGCTTTGTCACTAATGTGTTTGTCCTCAATGCACTCGTTGACATGTATTCCAAGTGCGGTGACATTGTAAAGGCTCGAAAGATCTTTGATAAGATGCCACTTAGAGACCCGGTTTCGTGGAATTCGATGCTCACGGCTTATGTTCATCACGGCCTTGAGGTTGGGGCAATGAACATTTTCCGCCAGATGCTTTTGGAAGGCTCTGAACCTGATTCTGTTAGCATATCCACCATTCTCACAGGTGTGTCATCACTAGGTCTTGGGGTCCAAATTCATGGATGGGTAATCCGGCGAGGGCACGAATGGAACTTGTCCATTGCCAATTCCTTGATCACGATGTACTCCAACCATGGCAAGTTGGATAAGGCACGTTGGGTATTCAATCTAATGCCAGAGAGGGATCTTGTTTCGTGGAATTCTATAATATCTGTACATTGCAAACACCGTGAAGCCCTTGCTTATTTTGAGCAAATGGAGGAAGCTGGTGTTGTGCCTGATAAAATAACGTTTGTTTCAGTATTATCAGCTTGTGCCTACTTAGGTTTGGTGAAGGATGGAGAGAGATTGTATACTCTATTGTGTAAAAAGTATAAAATAAACCCAATTATGGAACATTACGGTTGTATGGTTAACCTTTATGGAAGAGCAGGACTGATTAAAAAGGCTTATAGCGTTATAGTCGATGGAATGAACTCTGATGCTGCTGGTCCAACTCTCTGGGGAGCTTTGTTGTATGCCTGTTTCTTGCATGGAGACGCAACTGTAGGGGAGATTGCTGCAAACAGGCTTTTTGATTTAGAGCCAGACAATGAGCATAATTTTGTCCTTCTTATGAGGATATATGAAAATGCAGGCAGATTAGAGGACGTGGAGAGAGTTAGAATGATGCTGGTAAACAGAGGATTGGATTATTAGACAGCTGCACATCCAAATACTTATCACCACATGTATAACCCGTGTGTTTTTTCTTGAGTCACCCCGGATATGCTTGATGATGCTTGATTTGTTCAGTTTCCTTTTTGTCCCACCAATGTGATTACAATAAACATTCTTTGATGTGCAGCATCAGCACATAACTTGCCTCATCAAATTCCAACTAGGTAATGTCTTTCTTCCTCTTCGCATCAAATACCAGAAAATATATTATTTTTTCACATGTAATCTATCATCACATCACACGTTATTACTGGGTTGAGTACCTTGTCGACTAGAACAAGAGATTAAAAAAGAGTTCTTCCGTTCATAATTGTCACGCCTTTCTGGATTGATTGTCTGGAATAAATGATTTCAATTTCAAACACCTCAAATGCAAAATTCTTTGATTTTCTGTTTTGAATCAAGGAATTGCGTAAGACATGCTAAAGCGTAACATCTTACAAAAGTCTATTGATCAACTAACACTCTATTCAATAAATTGATTCTTGCAGCAACCCGCACATGCTGAATATTGATATTTGTTGAATGTGGGATTAGAGACGTGTATACTGATTTTTTTCACGCTATGCACCAGCTTTCTAATGAAGATCCTAAATTTATGGCCAAATTGTATTACATTAACAGCTAATTGGAAATTGTTAAAGAAAAAATATAACTGAGTCTGAAAACGTACCTGCGGCCGCAAAGTTTGAGATTCCCTGCTACCCTCAACTCTTCCGTACGTTAAATAAATAATCCTGCTAGCATTTAAGCAACCTATTTCTTTTTCTCTATGTACACAAATAATTTCTTTCTTTAATTATACTTTGATTTGAAGCCAAGTTCCTTTTGCCTTTTTTAATAGTAAGACTTAAGAAAGTACACAAACAACGCAGCACAAAACCGTTGGAGTATTGTGGGGACTTACGCAAACATAGATTTTGTCAACGCGGTGTAAACACTTTTTGGCTGCCTTTAGAGCCAAATAAACAGAGATTTTGGTCAATGTTACATAATCTCTTATGATTTTTTATGCGTAAGGCTGAAGAGATTATGTCAAGTGGCAAGACATTGAACTTCCAAGAAGAGTGCCAATGCCATTTAATTTGTCTCTTTCCATTGCATGAGTATTATGTCAAGTGACAATGTGAAAGCAAAAATGACAAATATAGGATGATTATGCATTGGATAAATAATTACATATAAAACCACTATGTTCATAAGTAATCCCTTAAACCGTGAAAGATGGAATGATGGCACATGCCACGTGCTGATTCCGTAGTACTGTCTAAATGCACATGATTTCGTATCGATAAAGGAAATCAAGTTCGCGTCGCGTCTACTGTAACATCAAAGATTAAAGAAAAAAGAAGGGTCAGCACCGAGCACATGATTAAGAAACTCCCACTCTAAGCTACTACTATACTACGAGAGTGCATGGAAAATAGAAATATATAACTTCTGGGCACCCGAAACAAGAAAAGAGAAAAAACATCACCAAAATGACAATGATGGGAAACACATTGTTAACGTTGTTATTGCTATCCTCAGTTTTCTCAATAGCCTCATCAAGAAGATCAAGACATTCCAACAGCAACATAGATTGGTGGTGCAACCAAACCCCACACCCCGAGCCATGCAAATACTACATGATGAAACAAAGCTACTACCACCATCACAAACTCAAACACAAATCCGAATTCCGCAAAATTCTGATCCACTTGGCCTTGGAGAGAGTAGTGATCATGCGAAGGCAAGCACGTGAGTTAGGGCAAAACAGGATCACCAAGAAGCAGAAATCAGTGTTCCGTGATTGTTTGAAGCTCTATGACAACACCATCTTCCATCTAAACCGTACCCTTCAAGGCCTTCACGTTAAGAAGAGTTGTTCACCCTTCGATGCACAAACGTGGCTCAGCACAGCTAGCACAAACATCGACACATGTCAACACGGGGCCTTAGAGCTTGGCATTCGAGATTTCATCTTTCCAAGTGAGAGATTCAACGTGACGGAGATTATAAGCAATAGCTTATACGTGAATTGGGCTTTCCTGAAACACGAAAAGGTTCGTTACACAGCAGATGCAGATGATGGTGATGCTTTTCCAAGGTGGTTTTCATTGCATGAGAGGAGGCTTTTGTTGTCTTCTAAAATTAGGGCACATCTTGTTGTGGCCAAAGATGGTTCTGGACACTTCAGGAGTGTTCAAGCTGCTATCAATGCCGCGGCTAGGAGAAGGTTCAAGAGCAGGTTTATTATACATGTTAAGAAAGGAGTTTATAGAGAGAATATTGAGGTTGACAAGACCAACGACAATGTAATGTTGGTTGGTGATGGCATCAGGAATACCATAATAACAAGTGGCAGAAGCGTTCAAGATGGTTATACCACCTATAGCTCCGCAACAGCAGGTCACTACTCTCAACTATTTCATCTCTTTTTCTGTCAATTCATTCCTCTTGTCATTTATTTGATTATTTCTAGAACTCATCTTACGCTCTTCATTAATCCTCAATTTGAGGTTTTGCTTATTGAAATATTTAATGATTCTTCTTCAAATTTAGGCAAAATCTTTATTTTGTTTTCGTATCCTTTTGCAGTATATATACTTTGTACATCTTTTTTTTTTTTAGGCTTAATTGTGCTGGTTTTTTTTTTCTTTCATTCATGTTTCAAAGGTTTTGCAACCCCACTATTGAATTTTCACATTTTTTCTAATTAAATTTTTAAAATTTAGCACATTTTGTCAGTTAAGTTTTATTAATTATAAAATGAAAAAAGGTTGAATTTCATTCACATGAACTTGTATATAAAGGTAAATGATGGCTTTAAATAAGTGTATTGTATAAGTGATGCGTGTAACTTTTGGTACATATTTCAGAGACTTGGCATAATGGCAAGGCGAAATGCGTGTGATTTAAGCATATGTAGTAATTTTCTACGTATTGATTGAGCTTTGATTAATTTTTCCAATAAGTATGTCATTGGTGGTGTTCATTTCATCTCCAACTACCTACCATTACCACTTTTTTTTTTTTTTTTTTTTTTTAAGAAGG